TTCTTTCGGTTTTCATCATATAAAAGCTACTGACTGAGAGAAATCTAAATCTTTCCAACGTCTCCCTCAGGACACAGAGCAGGGGGTATACCCTTCAAAGCGTATGTAATGGTGATGGTACAACTGTGGCACCAGGCCACTGAGGTACCCTCCACTCAACCTTCATTATCATTATCGATGTTAGGAAATTGTACCACTACTTATTGGCCACCATTTCATTCTGCTAACGGATTATTGCCCTCTCATGTCCATCGTCGGCCCATACACTGGGTTTCCCTCAATGGTGACCAGTCGGCTGCAGTGGTGGGTCCTACAGTGGTGGACTTGTACCATGTAAAATACAGGCAGTCAGAACAACACGCAAATGCAGGTCCATAGTCCAGACTGCCCCTGCGCTCAAGTGGAGAGCAAGAGAGTGGGCTGAAGAATCTCTCCTCCCAACCAAAGCAATGTGCCTGTGATGGCAGCACAAGTGAAGAATGGTATCAGAAACAATCCCATTTTAAGCTAGGTGATGGATCTTGTCCTATCAGGCAGGTCCTGCAGGTGCCACCCAGAACTCAAGGTATACATGGCCCGGAGGGAGAGTTGTCAGTCAAGGACAGCGTTCTATTATGAGGAATGAGTATGATCATCCCTCTGAACTTAAGATACAAGGCACTTGAGCAGTTGCACCAGGGCAATCCAGGAATGGTGAGGATGAGAGAGTTCCCCAAAAGCTACTTTTGAAAGCAGAATTTGGATGCCCAAATTGAAAAAGTCAGCGTGTGCCAAAACCAGAAATGCACCACCATTGTCACCATTATACCCTAGGAATGGCTCAAGATGCCATGGCAATGTGTTCACATTGATTTTGCTGGTTCCTTTGCTGCTGGCGGTAGTTGATGCTAATTCTACATGGTTGGAGGTGATGATAATGAAGTCCACTTCTGCAGTCCTGACCATTGAGAAAGTGGGCGAAATGTTTGTGAGGTTTGATAACCTGGAGCAAGTTGTCAGTGACACAGCCCTCAGTTTCTCACACAGGAATTTACTGACTACATGAAATGTAATGGCATTAGGCACATTTAGATGGTACCCTATCATCCTTCAGCCAATGTTCTTGTGGAAAGATTCATGTAATTGTTTAAAGCACTCATTGAAAGCATTAAAAGGGGAGAGGTCACTGACCGTGTACCAAAACACACCACACCTCATGCTACTATACCCATGTGACCAAGTACTGACCTGGATCTACAACACAACTGGCAAGTGGATACCTGCCAAGGTCCTGGCCCAAACAGGTCTCATATACACATGGTTCAGACGCAGGGTGAGACTGTGGGACAATGGCATGCTGACCAGCTGCTAGTGGCACACTGCCAAATGCTGAGACCAACCATCACCGCAGAGCCTCAAGAAGGAGCCTCTATCTTACTTCCTAAAGGCAGCACACCATCCCTGGAGTATCCCACAGCAGCCAGTGAGGATATCACCTTTGTGGAAGAGATTGTCTAGATGCCCCCTAGGGATGAGCCTCTTTACCTGAGATTCCTAGAAATAAAGATCGTTAAAATGCTTGGATCCAGTACATGGATTATAGAACTGGGATGTGAAAAGTTAAGACTTAGGAATGTGACGCAGTCCAGTGAACAAATCTAACTGCTAGTCCTAAAGCAGGTTTTGAATCTGGTTAAGACAAGACATAAATTCAGAATGTGTGTGTTATTGCCCCAATTTTCACCTGATAGTGGAACACTTGTTGCAAACAAAAGGAGAAATATTATTTATATCCGTTCCGTGTGGAGAAAAGGTATTAGGAGAATGGCAGACATGGCCTATTGATATTCAATATCTATCATCTAATTTTAATACCTGAAAGTGATTTCTAAAATTAGATAAATACTGACTGAAAATGGCTGCCATTATCACTTGATCACAATTGAAGAAAGCCTTATGAAAACAGTTTGAAATGAACAAAACTCATCTGCATTGAAATTACCACTTTATCCAAAGACAGTTATAACAATTAAGTTAGCATCCAGGAATTTATACCTCTTGTTTAACTTACACTTGCATGATAGGTACACGCATTGGTAGATAAATGTTGCCTGTGGAGTATTCAGCTTGGAAAGACAACAGAGCCAGACTCAGGAATGTACAAATGAACCACACATCAGTAGTTTGCTGGCAGAGCAAAGAGAGAAGAAAATTGATTCATAACAATAGATCAGGGAGGCTTGCTTTCCCTCACCATCCCTCTCACTCCCACTTTGCCCAAACATCTCTCAAAATAAATGGCATTTTAAAGGCAGCCATTCACTCAGAACTGAATTGTACAGTTTCACCACTGGTGAGAAACAAGAAAACAGCAAAACAGTCACAGACTCAGGTTTCACTCTCTTAACTCAAGGAATCTAAGAACTGTTAAAGCACATTTGTTCTTATCTTTTTGTTTAAACTGGACACCTTCCACCTGTCTTCATTTAAACTTATTACCCAGGTTTGTGAGAGTTTGATGTCATGTTTTATTATTATTTTGTGGCTGTAGGTTAAAATGTTTTTTCTTCCACTCAAGAAAACCTCGTAATTGGCACCTTAATTTCGGTCTAGTTAAATGAGTTTAAATTGAAAGGTGATAGCTGTGTGCTAAAAAGAAATAAAGGTATTTGTTGTAATTGACTGAGAAGAGAACCAATTCCCCTTTCTCATTTGATCATAACACTTGATTCCCACATGAAGAAAGGCAGCTTAAGGGGGACAGTTGATGTATGTGGGTTTTCATGGAACCAGGCACAATATCAGTACCCACTAATAATGAAGAAATATTTGAGGGTCCAGTGTTGCATGCTGAAGCTGGGGAAGCACTCAAGCTTAGGCCAGCTGCTCCAAAGGCCCAGTGCGGAAAGACCATGGCTAAGGTCTCCCTCCAAGATCTGCTGAGGGATTGTAAAGCCACTTGGGCTATATGCAGCTAAAACTATTTGACATGAAATGTAAATGTACATTGCAAATATAACCTGTAGTAGGAAGTGTAGTGAAGTACCCCAGAGTACCCGATAATATACTGGGCTACCACATAGTTGAGTTTGGGGTCGGGGGGATATTCATGATGCCTCCTCCCTTTGTTAGTTGTTTAAATTCCCAATACATTTCATGACTAATGTGGCAGGACTGCAGAGTTTAATATGATCTGTTCATTGTGGGATTGCTTTGCCATGTCTATTGCATGCTGCTTCCATTGCCTACTATGTGTGTAGACCTGAATTGACACATAATTTTTTTTAGCTATGCCTATGCTTCTCCTTTCATGTCTTCTTGCACTCTTCATTGAGCCAAGGTTGATACCATGGCCTGATGGTGGTGGTAAAGTGAATGATGTGCCATGCTGTGATGTTACAGATTATAGTTTAATACAATTTTGCTGCTGATGATGAGTCACTGTGCCTTGTGAATGTCTAGTGTTCAGATGCTTGATCTATGTTTTATAGAGCCTTCACTGTCTGAACTGCAGGTCTAGTGAGTACCATGTATTCAGTGTTCTGTCTAAACCCTTAGCTGGTAGCCACATGAGCATTTCTATGTAAATCCTACTGAAGTCAGCTCCTTTAAGTTACTGCATACATGCAGTTGCACACAGAAATTTTAAAGGGTTGTCCACGCTTAAAGAAAAAATGAACAAACACAATAAAACATATTTCAGTTTATGCAGTAAATTTTGCAGGTACAATACTAAATCATTAACTTAAATCACTGATCAAGAATATGTTATTAATCTCATTGGATTAATAATCAAATAATTGGTTAAATTGTTATATTGGAAAAAATCCAGTTTATATGACTGTTTTATGATTTGTAAAATTCTAAGAGAAATTCATCTGAGCCCATTTTTAGGCCAGGAATCAACATTGTTGATGCAATGAGGCTCCTTCCAGGATGGCTGACACTGGCTTGAAATTGGGTCTTGGGCAACATTTCAAAAATGTAATCCCTTCTCTTGGTTCTCCATTTTTAAAAAATCAAAGCAGCTAGTTCTTGTGTTTCATTCATGCAGAGAAACTTTAATGGGGAACAGCATGAGATAGTGTAATTTCTCAGATGTCATACGAGAGGAATTAGGAAGTCACTATTAGCATATGCAAAACCACCTGACACTTATACAGGACCAAAATGGAATTGCACATTTTTCAGACTTCATTGGGGCACCAAATATACAAAATTTGAAACTTTGCTCTATTTTCTGCAACAATGATCAATTCTTTCCCTGAATTCTTAGGTTCACAGGATAGTATCAGCATGCTAAAATATGTCTTTGTTCTTCAAAGACAGGAATAATTAAATTAGTAATAGTCCTCTTGGTTTTAATAAAACCTAATAAACTGAAAATTCTGACTTACTAACCAATAATGTTGAAATTTGATTTATCTTTGAACATGGAACATGTAATGTCCCTTGCATTATAAGCTAGAATCATAGAATCCCTACAGTGTGGAAACAGGCATTCGGCCCATCGAGTCCACACCAACCCTCCAAAGAGCATCCCACCCAGTCCCACACCCCCTACCCCTGTAACCCATGGCTAACCTACCTAACCTGCACATCCTTGAACACTATGGCAATTTAGCATGGCCAATCCACTTAATGTGCACATCTTTGGACTGTGGGAGGAAACCAGAGCACTCAGAGGAAATCCACACAGACATGGGGAGAATGTGCAAACTCCCTACAGACAGTCGCCCAATGGTGGAACTGAACCCAGGCCCCTGGCGCTGTGAGGCAGCAGTGCTAACTACTGAGCTTCCGTACCAGCCAGAATAATTTAGTGATGCTAATGTTTGTAATTAATTCCAAAATGTTTTAATTTTCCCTGGGAGACTGTGTGAGAAGGTTTCCTCCATTCACTTTTGGACATGAATACATTCTTTGAAATTCAGTTTGTAGTCTCAGTTATCATTTTGTAGCTTGAACCATATCTCTGTATCCGTTTTTCCCTTTTTCAATTTATTTGTTTTCTCTTTCAGGAGGAAAGGTCGTGGCCCACTTGAGCAATGATGGGCCTACACTGGTTAGAGCGAACGTAACCTTTAATGTGGTGCTTAAATTACCTAGATGTCAAAAAGAGGATGATAATGGTGACATTGTTTATGACATAAACTGCAAAAATGGTAAACCATTATGTGCATATGTATATGTGATATGTAGGATAAACCTCAATTGATTAAATTCAGTGGATTCAATCACTTACACAATCCATTTGCACCATTATGCATAACTTGAGAAGGATAGAAATTGAAGGATGCCCATAATTGGACACTTAAGAAATGATGACTGTTGGGTTCTGCTTTCAAATAGTGAGGCCAAGGCACTGCTGTGTAAGGCCTTGTGTCTCACTTCCATGAAGAAGGCAACCTGTAGATAAGAATAGGTGGCTCAACTGGAAAGCATCTTTAAAGGTTGGGTCATTGCTGGTATCAGTTGCCATTTATGGAAGAGTTCTAAACTTTTACCAGCCGCAATGAATTTCCTTAACCACTCAACTACAACTACAAGTCCCCTTCAACTATAATTGTTGACTTCTGGACAAGAGAAATTGACCATAAGTTGGTTTTGCTACGTTGTTAAGTAAAGGAAATCAACTGAACGATGCCACTGGGAAGTAGCTAATATAATACCCATGGTTATAAAGGACAGAACATTAAAACTGGTAATGGCAGACTAATTAAAAGTAAATAAAATGAAACTAAACATCTAGGCAATCATATGATAATTACAGAGATTGGTTAACAACAATCTATCAAAGATATTAAGAAATTATTGGGGAAAGGCAGAAATATGGAGTCAAAATGCAGATCAACCGCAATCTCATTGAATTGTAGAAGAGGCCAGAGGGGTTAAAGGCCTACTCCTGTTCCTATTGGTGAAATCTTGCAGATGTATTAGAGCTTTTGTCTGCTGGCTGGAAAGATGGCATGAAATCCATGTTGCCTTATTTGGAGAATGCCCACCAAATCGTAAGCCTATCAGGCAGTTGAGAGACAGCTGATGGCCCTTTCCCGGGGATCAGGACCCTAGGGGAGGTCCTTGCTACCTGACTAATCAAAGACCAGCAGCTGTTTCTCAACATTATCACTGGAGAGGAGCCAGACCAACAGCCAATTGAGTCGCAGAATGACCCAGCTGCAGGTAGGTAATGGCGGGAAGGGTTTCACTGTATCAGGGTTGCATGAAGGGCAGCATGCCCAATGGGGTGGCTGTAAGTATTCTGCCTTCCCCTCATGCCCACCCAGGGAACGAAGCCTCCCAGGAACCCCTTTTCCCTATAGCCATTGAAGATGAGGCTCTTAAAAGTGTATTTAATTGTCTAAGGACCTCAATTGATGGCAAGCAGGATGGCCAACCATGGGTGTTGCTGCCTTGCTACTGTGTGTGTTCAGCTGCCATTTTTCCACATGATAAAATGCCTATGTGTCTCTAAACACACCACTAGTGAGGATACATGATTCTTCCCTTTGTTTCCCTTTCTGTTCCTTTCTTTCCCCTTCTCCCTTGAACATGTGAACATATGAATATGAATTTTCAGCATGGTTTCCCCAGTGATCCTAAATGCTGCATCTTAAAGGAGCAATCTTCCAACTATGAATCTAGTAAGTAGCTGGATGCCGGGATCATGATAAGGATCACCTTGATGCATCGACTAAGCAACGCACCAATATGAATTCAGGTGCAAGACCTCAACATCCTTTGCTACATCCTCAAGTCATGAGGGAAAAAGTCAATATTTGAAATGAAAATCATAAATACATTTTTTCATACTCCATTTTGATATTGTTACAAATAATTTTAGTATAACATTCCCCTAGACAGACATATTGAATTAAATGATGCCAATAAGTTATGTGATTTAAAGGACTTACATTTTCAGTCAAACTAAGATAGAATTAATATTAGTTGACAGACCTTGAACATCATTTAAGCAGCTGATTACAGACTGAAGTAATGAAGACAGTTGTTTTAATGCTGAAATTCACGAGAAAATGTTGTTCATGAACAGATATTACCCTATGATTACAGCAATAGGTTGTCCCATGAGAACAGCTTGAGAAGCTTGTCTCATGACAACAGCTGTATTGGTGACTTGCCATTCAGTTCTCACACAGCATGGATCCATGAATCAGGTTAACTATTGTCAATTGTGGCATCTCCTGTATTGGCAAGTAATATTTCAGTCAAACTTGAAAGATCCAGTTGGTTCTTTAAAAGTGGGAGAACTCCATCCAACAGCATATCCAACTCCTGAGTATGGGACTGCAGCAAGTAAGATGATCAATGGAATATATCTATAAGGAGTATTTTGAACATTATACAATTTTGCAGGTTAATATGTACTTTAAGATGGTTATCTCCACATTATTTATCGGTTAGATGTACAGTGTCTAGGAATAACGTACTATGGACACAATGAATCTGGTAGACCTAATTTTGAATATGTTGTAGTCATCAATGGGCAGCCTTCAATTTGTTTAGGATATTATTTATATATGAAATATGGCAATTTAGCAGAGTGTTAACCCACTCATCAAATGTACCACATAATTCCGATGTATAAAACATTCTTCCAATCTGTTATTTTGTTTCTGATCTGTCGTAATGACAATTTTAAAATCATGTATTCCATTGCATGTATTCAATAGTATCTTCAAATCATGATAATTTATTGGAAGGAGAATGTAAATTTCTAAATATGATTCCCATATCAGTCACTAATGCCAGTGTTTATTTTCTAGCATCTTCATTCTTTCCTGGTCAATATGTATATAACTGGAGTTCCTGGATTGGTGAGTGTGGTTGGTTTAACTGCGCCAAGTTTACCAAATACAACATCTTCCCAGATGGCCGTCCTTTTCCTAGACAAATGGATTGGTGGCATAAGAACTTTGTCTATGTTTGGCACACACAAGGTTAGTACAATAAGATTTCCTTCAAATGTGAAGAGATCCCTTTAAAGACTTTGCTGACCATATCTCTTTCAAATATAGGCCAATACTATCAAAATATTGGGCGATCCAGTATGACCCTCTCTATCAATACAACCAACATCACATTGGGTGATCATATGATGGTTGTGTCTGTCTATCGAAGAGATCATCATGGAAAAAAATACATTCCAATTGCAACAGCAAGTGGCCCATACACGGTTACAGGTGAGGTTGTGTTTGGGATAACCTACCTATTAATCAATAGTTTCAGCAGTTTTGGTACCCTGACAAAAATAGAAACAGTTTGGTATTCACTCTTATAAGGTTTGTGTAAAACAAGTTGCAATTTTATAAAATTGAGGCACTAATTGTGAGGATCCACTTGCATGTGTGTTTATTTAACTTGATAAAGCTTGTAAAATTTGTAAGGCCTTGTGTGATGATTATGAAAAAGCTGAAAACTATGGTACAGGGCCATATGATGTACAGTTTTAGTCTCCTTATCCAAGAATGGATATACCTGCTGAATAGAGAATACAACAAAAATTCACTCACTTGATTCCCTGGGAGAAAGGACTGTCCAATGAGGAGAGATCAAATTTGAGCACGCTAATATTTCCTAGAGTTTGGAAGATTTCATTGACTCACTTTAAACTCTTAAAGAGTTTAATAGGGTACATGCTGGAAGGATATTTCCACTGGCTGACGAGCCTAGAACTAGGGATGAAGTCTCAGATTATGGTCAGTCATTTAGAACTGAGATCAGGACTTTTTTTCTCATTTCAAAGGGTTGTGAATGTTTGGAAATCTGTACCCAAATGGCTGTGGATGCTATGCTGTTGAGAATATTTAAGATAGAAATTGATACATTTTTGAATGCCAAAGGAAGATTTGGAAGTGGGTGTTGTTGGGAAAGGTGGAGGTGAGATTGAAGACAAACCATGATATTCTAGAATAGTGAAGTAGATTCAAAGGTTTAAACACTTTTACACCTATTTCTCATGCTAGACAGTAGTATGAAATTTGTGATAGTGAATTGGCAACTCCTTTTATTACTTGTTCATGGGATGTGGGTATCATTGATAAGACCAAATTTATCACCAATCCTAATTGGTGATGAGCTGGCTTTTTGAACAACTGCAGACGTATAGCATAAGCACATTCTACAAAGCTCCAAGGAAAGAAGCTTTTCTAAAATATTCATTTAGCAACCGTAGGTGAAGGAACAGTAATATAGTTCCAAGTCAGGGATCATGTTCCTATGAACAGAAACAGAAATTGCCAGAAAAGTGCAGTGTGTCTGGCAGCATCTGTGGAGAGAAATCAGAGTTAACATTTCAGATCTAGTGACTGTTCTTCAAAACTGATATTCCTGTGTGTCTGCCGCCCTTGTTCTTCTAGATGATAGTGGTTGTGAATTTGGAAAATGCTGTTGACAGAACCTTGGTAAATTTCTGCAATGATTTTGCAGATGGTATGCATTGCTACCGCAGTATGCCAGATTTGGAAGGAATGGCATATTGGATTCTTATCAAGTGGGCTGCCTTGCCCTGGACTGTATCAAAGTTCTTGAATATTCAAGCTGAACTCCTCCAGCCATGTTAGGAGTTTTTCATCACATTCCTGACATACTTTGTAGATGATTGAAAGTCTTTGGAGAACCAGGAGATGAGTTAAAAGCTGCAGAATTCCTAGCCTTGGAGCTGATCTTGTAGCCACTGTGGCAAATATGACCAGCATTAGTTGTGTTTCTGATCAGCTGCGGCACTGCCACAACCATTCTTCCTTCTCCCCAAAGGATATTGACGATAGGTAAATTAACAGTGGTAACTCCTGTTGAATATTGAGGAGGGCTGTTCAGATTCTCTGTTGTAGGAGATGATCTTTGCCTGTCCCAAATGTTACTCGTCATTTTATCAGCCAATCTTGAATCTTGCTTCATAAGGGTATGATTGGTCTCATTATATTACATATAGAACTTAAACACTGCGTCAGCATTAGCAGAACTCCCCACTTCTAACGTTATGATGGAGGGAAGATCATTAATGAAGCAGCTGAAGATGGTTAGACCTAGGACATGACTATGAGGAACTGGGGCTCTTGTGGCAGAGTGATAATGTCCCTAACTCAGAGCCAGAAGATAGGTTCAAGTGCCACCTGCTCTAGCGGGGTGTCATAACATCTCTGAACAAGTTGATATAGAAAATATCCACTCTGAAGAATTAGGGCTCCTGTGGGATATTTGTAGTGCCTCTACCTCTGAGCACCGAGAACTGGGTTTAAGTTCCCACCTGCTCCAAAGATGTGTAGTAATATCTCTGAAAAGTTGATCAGAAAATATTTTACTCTGAGGAACTAGGGACTCTTTGGCACAGTGGTAATGTTCCTATCTCAGAGCTAAGAGACCCAGATTCCAGTCCCAACTGCTGTAGAGGAGTGTCATAACAACTTTGAATAGGTTGATGTAGAAAATATCTGCTCTGAGAAAATCCAGCAGTATATTCTGGGACTGAAATGATTGCCATCAAACAGCCATAATTGTCTCCGTTTGTGTTAGGTATTAATTCAATCAATGATGATGTTGTCCCTAATATCCTGTAACTTGATTTTACGTGGGTTCTTTGATGTCACATTTGGTCAAATGCTACCTTGATGGCAAGCGCATCTCCATTAATATCTCTCCTGATTTCCATTAAAGTCACTAGAAAATAGATTGTTGATTTGCTATCACCTTCTTCACACTATCACACCAAGCCAAAATTACCCTAAAAGTTAAGCAAAAATATGTATGAAAATAAAATTAAAAGAATAGGAATAATTAAATGAAACCATTAGAATTACAGGATAAAGTTCTGATAGTTTTTGGGAAGCTCACAAAGCACTAAAGTCCATGAAAATCTTTGACAAGGCTATGAGAGCAAAGAATTTCAGTGTTGCGGCTAATATGATTCTGTATTTCCAAACAATACCTTCTTTCTAAATATTGTTAATTGTCACAGGGAAAAAAAATTGTGAGAATTTCAAATTTGCAAAGGATATGTGACTTCATAAAATGTGTTTTTTTTTCAGATCGTATTCCAACATATGTGCATATTTCACAAAAAAACAATCGCAATACCACTGATAGCATCTACATCAAGGACCTAGATGTTATCTTTGAAGTTAAACTTCATGATCCCAGCAAATATCTGAAAAATGCTGCCATATCCTATAGTTGGGATTTTGGTGATGGACGTGCTGTTTTATCAAAAAGTCCAACTGTTCGTCACAAATACACTAGTTCAGGGAATTTCAAACCTAAATTGATTGTTGAAGCAATCCTATCAGTTTCCTGTAGCTCCATTATACCAACTACATTGAGCCCAACTACTGAACAGGGCACTACAACCGAATTGAGCACTACGGTTAAATCGAGTACTACCACTGAACAGAGCTCTACAACTGACCAGAGTCCTACCACTGAACAGAGCCCTACCACTGAACAGAGCCCTACAACTGAACGGAGCCCTACCACTGAACAGAGCCCTACCACTGAACAGAGCCCTACAACTGAACAGAGCCCTACAACTGAACAGAACCCCACAACTGAACTGAGCCCTGTGACCAATGTAGATGCTACAACTGGTACGTTTTTTTTTACAATAATCCATACAGTGCCAAAAGGGAATAATGTAGTCAAATGTTTAATACAACGCTTTTAATTCAGAAAATTTGAAAAAAAATGTAAAAGTATTAAAATTTGGTTATATTTCCTGGATACCAGTTACAAGATAAACTTTAGCATGGATTCTCCTGCCAGACCAGTGCACCTTTGGAGGATGAAAAGAGAAATGCTGGAAAATAAGTGTAAACATTTACACCATTCCTTTAGCATTTACATTGCTTTTCTGCCAAAGGTACAGTGGGCAGTTGGGAAAACCTCATTGAATTCTGAAATTTCCAAGGATTCTCAACTGTTTATGATATTTGCATGTATTTATCTATCTTTATTTTCAATGGTGTTGTACATGGGGATTCAAGACCAAGTGTTAAAACATCAGATAAAGCAGGATTAGGCAATACAACACAATTGGAACTGGATTTGTAGTTGTTAGTCTGACCCTGTTTTAAAGTGATGTATTCTGTCATCTGCTGTTCATGTTTCTGTTATGAATCATTTGTCTATATTTGAGGTGGACACTGTTCAAACTTGCCATCTTGTTATTTGTGAAAGCACTAGAGCACACCCACTGGCAGAACAATGTAATTACAATTTTCAGGTTTACGAGGCAGTTTCTATTAAAAATCTGTACATGGTGGTTTATAACAACAGGAAGTACAAACATACTTTTATTATATACTTAATCAATCACCCATGAGTCTTGAAAATAGGGGGCTATAATTGTATGCAGAAATTAAGGCAGATAATGGAAAAAGGAGGAGGATGAAGTGGGAGTAGGAATGAAGGGAAGTTACAAAATGAGAAAGACAGAATGCAGGAGAAGAAGGATGAGATGTGAGAATATGGAGGCGGTGATAAGTGGATGGGGTGGAAACAGCTAGAGAGAAGGACACAAGAAGTAGGTGTGAAGATAGAAAGAAATGAAGAGAAAGCACAGAAGTGGATGCAGGAAAGAAGGATGAAGAACATGGGGAGGAGTTAGCAAGGACGAGAGATTGAGGTAAAAGGAGAGATAGGGAAGGAATGGGATTTGAAGAAGCAGTGGAGGTGGAGAGGAGAAAAGGAAAGAGGTGGTGAGAAGAATGGGACAAGGAAGGGAAGAAGAGGAGTTGACAGGAGAGGGGAGGGGGGAGGAGAGAGAAGGAAAGAGAAGAAGGCGATGAGAAGTTAAACTTTTGTGAAAGGACAAGGAAGGACACATGAAAGTGGAAAAGAGGAAAGGAAGGGATGAAAGGGGAGTTGGTGTATATGTGGTGGGTGAGGAGAAGGGTTGAGCGCATAGTTCAAATTGGATGGGATAATATAAATATTCCCATTTAGCCTCTTCTCCCTTCCATCTTCAATTCCTCAGATTCCCCCTAATTTCCTTGTCCCTTTCCTATCCAACCTCAACCAACTCTTTCACCAATTCTTCCTTTCTTTAGCTGTCTTTTCTTCGCTCTTTTTTTTGCCTTCCTTCTGATCCTAATTTTCCTTATATACGACGACCTTATGTATGACAATACTTATGCTCAGTTCAAATCTCCTTTATCCCTCCTAAACTTGTTCGCTCAAAAATTCCAACATCTTGTTACTTCTCTTGCTTCTGTGTCAGCAAAAGCAACTACCCTCCCGAGAACCCACTAAGCTACAAGACCTACATCTTCTACAACAGATTCCTATTAGTGACAAGGGAAAGAGGCAAAGGTAGAGGTCTTAACACGGCATATGAAGCAAAAATGATCAAGATAAACCTAATTCCAATAGCTCAAAAGAAAATAAAAATACAAAAATGCTGATAATGTGCAGCAGGTCCAACAATTTCTGAAAGGAGAAAGGACATGCAGTCATTCAAGTATAGATCCTTTACTAGAATTGGAAATGGGAAGATAAGTGAGTTCAGCGTTAGAACTGAAGACAGACTGTGGGTGTAGAGATCAAGTGTTAGGAATACTGGTCGTTGTCAGAAAAAGGTCTTACAGGTAAATAGGGAAAACTATAAGGTTAGTAGTTAAAATAATGAAAAAGTTGAGTGAAAAGAGTAGCAATTGTTATCAGGGTTGAAATCATTTGAAAAGTAAGATGACAACAATGATTATGGCCAGTTTTAGAAATTAAATTTAACTTCCACCAGCTTTCAAGGGCTTTGATCCTATGTCACCAGGACATTAGTCTGGGGACCTGAATTACTGTTGCAGTTACATGACCACTGCATCACCCTCTCCCTCTAAATCCCAAACAAACTAATACAATCAAAGTTAACATTTCGGGTCTGGTGCCCCCTTCCGTCACCGAACCCGAAATGTTAACTCTGTCTTTTTCTTCTCAGAAGCTGCCAGACCTGCGGGGCTTTGTTTTTGTTCCTGATTTACAGCATCCACAGTTCTTTCAGTTTTTAATACTAAATCAAGGTTAGGGGACAAAATTATCTTCACACATTGAGGGACCCAATGGTATTCTTGGAGCCTCTGCTCAGAGGGAGAATGGCCAGCCACACCCAATCACACGGTAGCCAGTGAACAATTAAATGTGCAGAAGCAAAGACCCTGGCCAAATATGTGGGAGGGATAGACAGGGAGTCCCTGGCTCCACCATTACAGAGTCAAGGATTCAGATCCGTATTTGAATGGCACTGAGGTAGCCATGCACACTTTCCATCCAGCAAGAATGGATCTGCTGGCATGTACACAGTGACAGATATCTCATTCCTGCTGAATCGTGCCATAAGCCTTTCCAGTGTATCACTTCATTGCCCTTTCCCTGAAAGGTGACACCCCCTTCATTCTTGACCAACTATCAATCACATTAGAGCTTTCCTTAGCACCATCAATCAGCTTCCTGGTACATTGGAACTGCCCCCACCCTGTACCTCTGCCAAGCCTGATTACCCTTGACCTTGACATTCAATCCGTCATCCTCGACTTTTCTTCTGTCACCATTGCCCTTTATTACTTGCAAATCTTAGGCCTTCACCGTTGACCTTCCCAATGTAACCCTTGATATCCGCACATCATGCTTCAAACATCACCTATCAATATTGCAGTCCCTCACAAGCTCTGATAGGGCTGCCAGTGCCCTCCTTCTCATGGTCAGCCATGCCTCCTTTCCTGTTCACAGCTGTCACCTGATTTCAGTGTATCAATACCTCCTCTCCCCTAGTTTACAAAACTCTGCCTTCAAGAAAACCAGTTACTAATCAGTCCACATCCGTCAGTGTGACTCCTTTGCTTGCTGCACGCCAGCTTTAACTAGCATTTAAATCTGAAAGCTTGTCCTTATCAAATGCTGCATGCTTAATTCCAAAGGTACAATTTACTCAGGTGGAGTTGTGTTTTAATGAGTGTTCATGACATGTTAATATATTAAAAATAGGTTTCTGTTACCTGTCATTGGAAAGCACAATCTGTTGTCAGTCCACCAGAAACTCCATAACCAACTTTCATCCTGAAATCAGTATATTGACATTTTGTTCCTTGCTGAATTAACTGCTTCCTCCAGTCTCATTTCCCACTCTCAGGAACATCACAATATTCCATTGAGGAACACACTGAAACTAGGATAAACAAAATAACCACAATAAAAAAGATAATGATATTAACAATGATAGATCCCCAGGATTCGTTTCCATTCCATGAGTTCAAAACACAAAATGAGAACAATGCCATAATTATAATCTGTCAAAGTCCTCTTGACTCAGTAACTATTCCTTGAAGTTGGAAACGTGTACATGTTATTTTGTTGTTAAGCAAGATGATAAAGGGAATTATTGTCCAGTTTCTTAACATCATTTGTCAGAAAATTGCTAGTCTATACTTAAGGATAAACTGACTGAAAACCTTAAACATTGTGAGCTGATCAGGAAGAGCCAGTAGAGATTTGTGAAGAGTAGATTATGCTTGACAAATCCAAGTGATTTTTTTGAGAAAGTGGCTGAATTTGTGAACAGGGAAATTTCTATGGTTGTTATTTGTATGACGATGTTAGTAGTGACTATGATACATGGACGGTACATTGGCACATGATGGCTTTGGAAGAAATAAACTCCAGTTACCAGCTTCTTCTTCACTCTGAAAGTAGCATATTTGGCATTACTGTCACAAACACATTTTACCAACAAGCTGATAAACTGAGAAGGAGGATCTCAAAGTGTTAAATTGTGTATAGTTGCTGTGGTGGGGTAATCCCAGGATGGCAGTTTCCCACATTATTCTTGCAGAGACAGATGAGCACTTCTGCTGTACCTGGGCCAATAAAACAATGTCAGCACTTGCCTCTGTTTTGCTTTAAGCTGTGCTTTATTGAGCAGAGTAATTACATGAGGCTCTCCGCCCAGTAGGTGGCTAAAACAGCATCAGATCCTACGAGTTACATGGAACTTTGAGTGTGAAAGAATAGCACTTCTGCACAGTTCAGGTGAATGTGTCAACTACCTAGCTTAAGGTTCTGGGGACATCATTGTAAGTCCACCAGCTCTATTTCCACTCTGATACTTCCCTGTTTCCCACATTCTCCCAATGTGTCGTGAAAAACATGCTTGTCCTTCATGAGTAGCATTTAATGTATTTATTTTTATTTCCTCCCTAGGATTCTCAACAATTGCTTATACCAATGGTACAAACGGTCCACTGCAGCTTGAAAAAAGAGATGTCTCAGGATTAGCCTGTAACCTTCACAGATATGGCTACTTTGAAACAAATATCACAGTTGTAGGTAGGCAATATTATAAAAAAATTGTATTGCATTCAAATGTCCTGTGTGAGAAACTGGACAGGCTCCCCAGTTTCCTGAATGAGCAGGAAAATGAATAAAATCCCGATTCTATGGCTATCTATAACCCTAAATTATTTTAACATATACTGTCTATGTAAACTCTATTTGAAGAAACTAACTGCACAGTCTCTGTTTAAATCTGTGTTGTATAAATAAATCTGTACCACAGTTGAAGCAACAGACCAGTAAAAAATACAAAAGATACACGACAACACAAGAGTATAAATGTCTTCAAAATATTAGTGAAAATAATTATTTTGAATTGTTTTTCATTGTTAGATGGAATTGTTGGAGTCAGCATTGTGGAGGTGACCAGTGTTCAGATCTCCACAGAACTTCAACAGAACTCCATTGTGAATTTTGTTGTCACATGTAAGGGCAGGTGAGTTGGTACTTTATAAGAACATAAGAAATAGGAGCAAGAGTAAGCCATAGGGGGCCATTCAGTAAGATCACAGCTGGTTGTCTGCAGCAATTTTACATTACTGTTTAGTTCCCATATCCCCTGAACCCTCTGGTGTCCAAAGATCTCAAATCAATTTTGGTCTTGCATATGGACAACAACTCAGCATTCCCAAACCTCTGGGGAGTACAAAATATTCACAACACTCTAAATGAAAAAAAAATCTCAAATCAATCCTAAGTGACTTTTTCCAAGGGCACTGACTCAGCAAAAAGCTGCCTTTAGATTTTTTGCAATTTTCTTTTCCAAAGCTGAACGTATGTTTGACCAACAGTAGATTTGGAGCAGAGCATTCCATGTTCACAGGGCCAGGTTTGCTGAGCAGGTGAGTGGCTTTTCAGAGTAGAAACCAAGAAGTCTGTTCTGAAGATTTCAAACTCCAAACAAAGTACTTCTCTTTAAAATACAGGATCCTCACCTGGAAGCCAACCTACTTGAACTGGCTCTCAGCTGTTGAGCAGCACACCATAGTTGTCTGTGGGCTCAGGTAGGAAGCAAGCAGCTGCTGATAGTGGGGGAGAACTTTAGTTGAGAGAGGGAAGGGAGGAGATACAGAGGCCCTGCCGGTTATTTTCAAATCCTGTCTGGCCAAAGGTGAGGTGCTAGAAGACTTGAAGGATTACTAAAACAAAAAAGTGAGGAAGGGATAGACTAGGAAATTACAGGCCGGTCAGTCTAACCTATGTGCAGGCAAAGTTATTAGAAAGAATTCTGAGTGACAGAATATACCTGCACTTGGGGAGACGCAGATTAATGAGGAACAGTCAGCATGGATTTGTTTGGTGGAGGTCGTGTTTAACAAGTCCGAACAATTTTTTTTTGAGGGAGTAATAGAGCGTTGATGTGGGCAATGCGTTTGATGTGACCTACATAGACTTTAGCAAGATTTTTGATCTCTGATGGCTGACTGGTCAAGAAAGTAAGAACCTATGGGATCCAAGGCAAAGTAGCATGTTGGATCCAAAATTGGCTGAGACACAGGAAGCACAGGGTGAGGGATATTTTTGTTACTGGAAGTCTATTTCCAGTGGGATTCCACAGGGCTCAGTGCTGGGACTTTTGCTGTTTGGGCGTACATTAGTGATTTGGGGTAAGATCAAGATGTTCACAGATGACACGAAAATTGGTAGAGTGTTTAATAGTGAGATGCATAGCTGTAAACTGCAGGACCATATCAATGGATTGGTCAGGTAAGTAGAACAGTGACAAATAGAATTCAACCCAGAAAACTGAGTTAATGCATTTGGGGAAGGCTAACAGAATGAGGGATTGCACAATGAATGGTACAACTCTTGAGAAGTACTGAAAATCAGAGGCACCTTGGTGTGCATATCCACACTTCCCTGAAGGTAGCAGGGCAGGCAGATCAAGTAGCAGAGAGATAATGCTGGACCCGTATAAAATACTGGTTGGTCCACAATTGGAGTACTATATGCAGTTCTGGTCAACACATTATAGGAAGAATGTAATTGCAGTAGAGATGGTATGAGGACACTTACCAGCATGCTGCCATAGACTGGCAGGTTTGATCAATGAGAGAAGATTAGATAGGCTGAGGTTGTGCTCCTTGCTTGCTGCTTGCCTTGACAGCTTCCACTAGATTTCTAGCTTCACGCAATTGTCCCCTGTGAACCATTTTCTAAGGCTGCCCTCCAGCTATTGGTTCAGCAACATAGGTGTGGCCACCTGTGTCAGCTGCCTGATGTCTCCCTGGGGTTCAGGTCCCAAATACATTTATTCTTATTCTGACCCCTAATATTCTAAATTCAGCGGGCTACCTATGTGTCAGTTGGAAGATCAGTCTTTTCAGCCTATGAGGTAGCCACTTTCCTAGTCATGGAATCCAAACTTACCCCATGATGTGGATGATGTGGATGATGTGGACCTATCTGTCAAAGAAAAACAATTGTAGTTGGTCACTATTAACCCCTTCTCAACTCTTAAGGGGAGGTGGTGGCATAGTGGTAATGTCATTGGATTAGTAATCCAGAGCTCCAGACTAATGTTCTGGGGACATGGGTTAAAATCTCTTCATTTTAGATAATGCAATTTGGATTCAGTATAAATCTGGAAATTAAAAAGAAAAACTGGTCTAATGATAATCATGTAATCACTATTTCAGCGGGGCCAGTAGTCTAATGGATAACATCTGACTACGGATTAAGGGATTGTAGGTTCAATTTTTACCTTTTGCAGGCCTACAAGGACAGCATGGTGACTTAGTTGCTAGTACTGCTGCCTCATGGTGCCAAGGACCACAGTTCAATTTCAGCCCTGCGCGATTGTCTGTACTGAGTTTGCACGTTTTCCCTATATCTGCGTTTTTGCTGGGTGCTCCAATTTCCTTCCACAGTTCAAAATTGTGCAGGTTAGGTTGAATTGGCTGCGCTAATTTGCCCATAGTGTCCAGAGAGGGAGAGAGAGAGACTTACAGCTTAACTGCAAACTTTGGGAGTTATTTTCCTTTTGATTCCTTAGGCTTTTGAAAGTAGAAACCAAGACCAGATATGGTAGTTTAGCAAACATTAGCACAGTCACTTTAAAGCCAGCATTTCCTACAATTAAAGGCAATATGTCCCACCACTTCTTCCTAAAAATTTCCTTGACTTTTTGTAATTAGGTGGTAGATCAGAATTCATCAAACTGTTGACCTCACTTTCCAAAAAACTGCATGAGTTCTCTTTCCCTGACAAAAAAAAATCCTGTTTAATCCAGGAAGTGTCCAAATAGTTCAATATCTTCTAGCTTTTCACACAGCGTATAAACATAGACGTTTAGACCCAAAGGCTCAAATGTAATGACGGGGCTTTAGTAAGTGTACATTCGACTGATGGGCAAAATTTTATAGCATCCGAACTTGAACATTTGACCTGATTAACTGTATAATCCAGTGGTACATAGGAACAGAAATAGGCCATTCAGCCTATTGAGCCTGCTCCACCTTTTGATAGCTGATAGTACACTTCAATGTCTTTCACCCACACTGTCCAGATAAACTTTTATGCCATTGGTAACCAGAAATCTATCAATCTGTACTTGAAGCATATTAAGAAACTGAGCTTCCACAGCCCTCTCAGGTGAAGAATTCCAAAGATTCACAACACTTTGTAGCCACCCATGATAACTGTGCTTCCCATGCTACATGCTTTTCTCATTGCCTTATTAATACTATGCCCCACACTATCACTACTATTTGGTAGCCTATAAATAACTCCAGCCAATATCTGCTGTTTCCTGACTTCACCGAAACAAATTCCACATGCTGTGCTTCCAATCTCCCTTACTAATGTGCTATCCCATCCTTTGTTTATCAGCACAACTCCACCTCCTTTTTCTTCTTATTCACCTTTCCTAAACATTGAATATCCTTGAATATTCAATTGCCAATCCTGATCACAATGCAGCCATATTTCTGTAATGGCAATTTTATTGTACCCATTTACCTCTATTTTTGCCTTTAAATCACCTACCTTGTTCCAATTGCTGCATGCATTCAGGTAGAATGCCCTTATCAATGTCTTCTTGACACCGTTCTACATTCAAAGCACACTCGATCCTTGGCTTTGTATTACTTTTCTTCTAATCTCCATAACAGCTTTTCTACTTGTTGTTACCAACTTTACTTTCTTCCAGTTTTGGTTACCCTTCAGGTTCCTATCATCCTGACAAGTTAGTTTAAACCCACTCTAACAGTACCAACAAATTCCCTGTGAGGCTTAGTCCAGTTCTGTTAAAAAGTAACTTGTACAACTTACATGGTCCCACCTTCTCCAGAACTGTAACCAATGTCACAAAAATCCAATGCCCTCCCTCCTATACCAGTTGTCTAGCCGTGTGTTCAATCGATCAAACTTTCTGTTGCAATGTTAATCAGCATAAGGCATCGTGAGTAAATCTGACATTACTGATCTTGAGATCTTGCTTTTTAATTTCCTTCCTAACTCCCTGAAATCTGACTTCAGGACCTCATCCCTCTTCTCATCTATGTCATAAATATCAATGTAGGCTACGACATATGGCTGAATCCCCTCCTCCAGAGGATGTCCTACAGTTACTCCATGACATTCTTGATCTGGACACCAGGAAGTCAACACAGCATCTTATGCTTCAAACCATACAATCCCATATCATTATTGCCCTTCCATTCTTCTTCTCTCCTCCAGCTATTGAATAGTGGAAATACCCATGGTGCTATGGACTTGGCTTTGGCTTTACCCCTTAGAAACAATTGCTTTCACTAGTTTCCAAGATGGAACAATGATTAGCAAGTGAGATAAACCTGTGGGACTCCAGCAATGCATGGCTAATTTTCGAAGACTACCGGTAGTCACCTCTCTGTCTGTACATTTCATATCTGCAGTGAGACTACCTCCATATATTTCCTATCCATATGGTCCTCTGCCACATGGATGTACAACAGACACTCCAGCCCTTGCTCAAGTTCTGTAATCTGAAACTCAAGCTTGTGCAGCTGGTGACACTTCCTCCAGATGTATTTGTCTGGGACATATGGTACAATGACTTCACACATACTGCATGATGTTCCTCTGTACCTATGCCCTTGTCCTTCCAGATGACAGTGGTCATGACTTTGAAAGGTACTATCTAAGGAACCTTGGTGAATTTTTGCAGAGCACAAGCTGACCACACAAAGTGCCGCAACTTAGTTCTGGTGGCAGAGGGAGTGAATGTTTGCGGATGTGGTGCCAACCAAATAGGCTGCATTGTTCCAGATGGTGTCAAACCTCTTGCATATTGTTGGAGCTGTACTCATTCAGACAAGTGGAGAGCATTCCATCACATTCCTAACTTGTGCCTTGTAGATGGTGGACAGGACTTGGGAGTCAAGAAGTGAGTTACCTGCTGCAAGGTTCCTAGCGTCTGACCTGGTCCAGTAGCCACTGTACTTAAATGACTAGCTCAGTTCAGTTTCTGGTCAATGGAAACCACCACGATGTTTATTATGGGAATTCATTGATACCATTGAATGTGAAGGGGATAATGGTTAGATTCTGCCTTGTTGGAGATGGTTATTGCCTGGAACTATGAAGCATGAATGTTATTTGCCATTTATCAGCTCAAGTCTGGATATTGCCCAGCTCTTGCTGCATTTGGGCATGGACTGCTTCAGTATCTAATGAGTCATAACTGGTGCTGAGCATTGTGCAATCATCAGTGATTATCCCCACTTCTCTCCTTATTTTGGAGCAAAGATCATTGATGAAGCAACTGATGATGGTTGGACCCTGAGGAACTCCTGCAGAAATGTCCGAATGCTGAGAGGACTGACCACCAGCCACAACAACCATGTTTGTTTTGTGTGAATTTTGAGTCCAACTGGTGGAGAATTTTTGTGCTGATTCCCAATCACTCCAGTTTTGCTACAGCTCCTTGGTACCACACTCAGTCAAATGCGACTGTGATGTCAAGGGCATTCTCTCTCACCTCACCTCTGGAATTCAGCTCAAGGTTTGGACCAAGGCTATAATGAGATCAGGAGCTGAGTGGGTCTGGAGGAACTCAATCTGAGTGCCAGTGAGAAGATTATTGCTAAGCAAGTGCTGCTTGTTAGCACTGTTAATACCTTCCATCACTTTACTCCTCACAGCGCCAGGGATCTGGGTTCAATTCTACCCTCGGGTGACTGTCTGTGTGGAGTTTGCACACTCACCCCGTGTCTGCATCGGTTTCTGCCGGGTGCTCCAGTTTCCTCCCACAGTCCAAAGATGTGCAGGCTAGGTGGAATGGCCATGCTAAAATGCCCGTAGTGTTCAGGGATATGTAGGTTAAGTGCATTAGCCATGGGAAATGCAGGGTTACAGGGATAGGGTGAGGGGATGGGTCTGGGTGGGATGCTTCTTGGAGGGTTGGTGTGGACTTGTTGGGCCAAATGGCCTGTTGCCACACTATAGGGATTCTTATTCTAATTCTAGTAGACTGATGTGGCAGTAATTGGAGCATTGCATTTATCCTGCTTTTCGTGCACCAAATATGCTTGGGCAATTTTCCACATGATTGGTTAAAAGCCAGTGTTGTAGCTGTACTGGAACAGCAAGAAGTTCTGGAGCATGTTTACATTACTATTGCCAAAATGTTGTCAGTGATCATAGCCTTTACAGTGTCTGGTGCCTCTTATTATTTCTTGATGTCATGTGGAGTGAATCAAATTGGTTGAAGACTAGATCTTTGGTGGGGATCTCTGGAGGAGGCCAAGGTGAATCATCTACTTGGTATTTCTGGTCAAATATTGTTACAGTTGCTTTAGCCTTATCTTCTGCACTGATGTGCTGGGCTCCTCCATTATTAAAATTGGGGATTTTCAAGGACCTTCCTTCTCCAGATGTGGCAGGACTGCAGAGCTTAGATCTGTTGCATTGATCTACCACGGAACTCTGCTATTGGTCGACTGAATTTTGTGGTAAAAGGTTGGGCCTTCAGATTGGGGAATCCCAAGGATATGGGAATGTCAAATTAAGAATACCAGCTGAAGCGGGGTGCTAAGTTGCTTCCCTCTCTGAAAGTAATGCTGACTACATCAGGACACTATTTCAGAATGTTAATCAAAGTAATACTCTGATTGCCTTGAGTTCTTGAAACCCAAACTTAACTCTGGTTTGGAAACCCCTGCTCCAACACCATTGTCAAAGAATTTCCTGATGAAACAAACTGTACCTATACTGTTCATACGACAAATTCTGACTGAGCAGAACTTCTACTTAAGGAAGTCTTGTAGATGTGAGCAGAGAATCCAGGCACATAGGTGCATCTGCAGAAATATTGTTGAACTTGCCTCAGAATCAAAGAAGTGTCATGTTGCAGGAGGCCATTCAGCCTGTCATGTGTGCACCAGCTTTCGGAGTAAACATTTTGACTCAGTGACATTCTCCTGCCTTTTCCCCATTTAGATAGATGCAGTAATTTGCAGTATTTTGTTATATTTTCTCTTTCGATATTCTAGTGTACTTACATGGAATTTTGCTTTTAACAATTACATTCCAGATCTCAATTGTAACCTGACTTCTGCGATTATTTTTCCCTTGCAGTATACCTACTGATGTGTGCACTATAATTGGCGATAGTTCATGCATGGTGCTACAAAACATGATCTGTGACCCTGTTGAGGCTGTTGATACATGCTATTTGACCCTTCGTAGACGTTTCAATGAATCTGGTATCTACTGTGTGAATATCACATTAAGGGATAATACCAGTTTAGCTGTTGCTAGTACTCTGGTATCAATTGAAGGTAAGCACTTATTTTCAGTGACTAGACTCCTTTAAGTAATAACTACACAAGGTTCATTTGTATTATAGCTTTTTGACTATTTAAGAATGCAGTAAATTAACTTATCCACAGAAATTATGCTTTAAGATCTGAATTTGCATTTCTTTTTCTTTGGTGAGCAGGAACATATTATAATCTGTCTCTTCAATTCCTTGTACCTATTCTACCATTTGGTCAGACCATGACATACAGTGACTCATCTGCCCAGCTTTGACACATATCCCTGATAACTTTGACTTGTAAAAGTCTACCACCCTCAGATCATGAAATTTTCAAAAGACACAGCATCCACAGCTGGAGGAAGAATGTTCAAAATTTCCATTATCCTTTATAGGAAAATGCATTTCCTGATTTCACTCTAGTAAGGCCTTACTTTAATTTTAAAGTTGTGCTATCTTGTTCAGATTTATCCACCCAAAGCAATAGCTATCTACTCTGTAAAATTATTTTAATACTTCAATCAAATCATTTAAATAAACACTTCAATTAGATAAACGTTATAAACTGAAAGGAATGCAAGTTGTTGTGCACCTTGTTCTCAAAAAATAATTTCTTATAATTCTGGTGAATTTGAACTGTACCCCATTCAAATGCCAATATATCTTTCCTAAATTGTGGTGCTCAAAACTGAGCACTATACTTTAGATGAGGTCTGACCAAAACTCTGCTCAACAGAAACAAACCTTCCTCCCTTCTGCATTCCAAAACTTTAATAAAGGCCAACATCAAACCTGACCGGGCCCACAAGCCTGCCCATTGGAAGCAACCACACAGTCTGATGACAGAAAACCTCATCGGGGTATGCAAGAGGGCTGAACTCAAAAGGCCATCTTTTGTGGTTGTGCCTTTGTCCCAGGCAAGCCTTTGATGAGAAGCTATCAGGTGTGTACATTCTCCTGGTTGCAAAGATAGCTCTGTGACCTGATGTTGTATGAGCTGCTGAGTGTTGTAGATCCTTTTATGTTTTAAGTGTGAACCCCAGAAGACGTATGAGTGGCAATACCACTGTGGTACTAATAGTAGACATCAGCTGGTGCAATGAAGTGACAATGATTGCACATGGCATTTAGTGGAGACATCTTGGCTATGACAGTCCTGTGCGGTGTCAACCTTAGTATGCTAATTCGTACTTCTAGGGGCTTGAAGCATTGAGTAGACAGTGGCATATACCCTGTCAGAGTGAGCACATCATTCGTCATCTTGTGGCACTAAGACCAGCTTCTCCTGGACCACTCGCGCGTGCTGACCAAAACAGCCAGGCGGCCTTCATCAATTGAAATGATTTCTTGTTGCCATCTATAAACTTAAGAACTTCCCTTCACATGTGGACAGTCTTCAGGAGAACCTCTAGGGAGGTGTCGCTAAAGTATAGTACTACTTTTTGCCCTGTCTTTGACATTTCCAGGGGTAGGTAGGGGTGATGAGCAGAGGTTGAGTGATGCTTCTTGGTTGCAGAGGGTGAATTGCTGTCCTGATGTCTTTTAAATATAGAGCCTGGATTTTGGAACTCAGAGAGTCCTGGCAGACTTCAGAGATTTTTGACTATAAAATTTGGTGTTTTACTCAAGTGTGCATATATATTGAGCTCAGAACAACATAATCAATTGGAAAACCCAAACAACCTCAAGTGAAAGGCCCTTCCACACTTACATCTGCTCTCATACAGCCTCACAAAAAAGAAAATTCCATCCATACAGGTAGGAATAGGAGTAGACCATTCAACCTGTCACATCTATTCTGCCATTCCATTAGATCACGTTTGATCTTCTATCTCAACATCACTTTCCCACACTATCCCCATATTCCTTGATGTCACACATATTCAGAAATATATTGATTTTTGACTTGAATATGATCAATAATTGAGCTTCCACATCCACAGCCCATTGCAGTAGAGAATTCCATAGATTGTGGCTGCTCTGCTCAGCCATTTTCTTGACTTATCTCATAATCCTTGATTTTCTCAATGATTATAAATTTGTCTCTCAACCTTGAATATACTTAACACTCCAGCCTCAACAGCCCTCTGCAGTAAACAATTCCACAGATCCACCAACCTCTGAGAAAAAGAAAAATCCTCCTCATCTCTGTCTTAAATGGGCAACTTCTTACTTTGAGATTATGCCCTCTGATCCTAGACTCTCCCACAAGAGAAAATAACATCTTTGTATCAACCCTATTAAATCACTAAAGAATCATAAGGTCGCTTCTCATTCTTCCATACTCCAGTGAGTACAATACCTAACTCTTCCTCATTTGAAAATCCCTCTAGATCTGAGTTCAACCGAGTAAACCTTCTCTGGACTGCCTCCAAAGCCAGCATACCATTCCTTAGCTAAAGGGACCAAACTTGTCACAGTTTTCTGTCTGTGGTCTGACCAGTGCCTTGTATAGTTTCAGTAAAACCTCCCTACTTCTTTATATTTCCAGTCCCTTTGAAAGAAAGGCCAACATCGCATTTGTCTTTTTTGTTGTCCAATGAAATTGGATGCTAGCTTTTTTGTGATTCATATATCAGGGCTCCCAAATCTCTCTGTGCTGTTGCTTTCTGTAGTCTTTCCCTGTTTAAATAATATTAAATTGTTCTATTCTTCCTGCCAAAGTGCATGAACTGACATTTTCTCACATTATATTCCATCTGCTAACTCTTCCCCACTCACTTAACTTGTCTATATCATTCAGCAGACTTCTTGTTCTGTATGTCCATACCCAATCTGAGTATCTAACTGTTCATTTCCCTAATTACCCTCTCAGTCCTAGGCATATTGGGTCAACAGGCCAAGTATAGTCATGCGCTGTTGCACCATCCAAACCAGGATGTTGTTGACTGTTGATGACCCTTCTCCCACATTATCCCTTTTTCCTCCATACTCTATCATTTTCTCCCACTATTTGCTAAGTCACCCCCTTCACAATTGTTATCCTCTCTGCATCCCAGCATGCTGTGTCCAATCCCCACAGCTGAGTTCCTCACCTTCCCGTTCATAGCAGTGACCCCTGTTAACATTTCCCCGAAACGTCTAGTAAATGAACTCTCAGGACTGACTGTGGCCCACCCCTATGACTGACTTGGATGGTCAGCCCTGACCAATGACCAGTCCACTGACTGATTTCTGTGCAGCTCCCCTCTCCTACCCCGTCCACCGACTGACCTCCTGTGAGTCCCTGGACTGGATTCCCTGACTGAAGATGCCTCCCTTGACTTGACTGAGGACCAGTCTCTTTAGACTTTGAGACATTGCCATTTGGTTGGAGTACATGCCATGTGTTTGGTGTGTATGTGGCTGGCACATGGTGCAGATGTGAGACTAGTGTCACATGGTGCCATACAATAACATGTCCACCCCCTTGACTGATGCTGGCTGACAACCATGAGAAGCTGCCTGGCTGTGTGTCTGCACTAAAAGGCAAAACAAGAAGTACTTTGAGCAGTTAGGAAAATGCACAGAGACAAGGCAAAGTAAGGATACTGTGAGCATCTAAACAGGTGCAAAGTGAGAGAACACAAAGAGAGCAAGTGAGAATCCTTGAGATGTTGTTGGTTGATTTCATGAGATCAGTTTCTGTCTCTGTATGGAAAGTGTCCTGGCAGCAGCATTCCAATGAAAAGTGCTGGTGTACTCCAAAATGCAGCATTGAAATGCAGAACCATCCTACAACAGGATGAGATGTGCCATGAGAGTGTGGCGAGGCTGGTACATATCTGATGTCAATATCTGTGGCAGGGGATGCATGTGGTCACTGCCCATGGCCAGTGTCCTGAGAAGTCAGGGACTGGCACCTAAGATGGATGTCCAGATAAGCAAGTGACAAAATGGAGTTGCCAGGTAAATGTGACTTTCTTGTCAGGACAATGTCAGGTAATGTCACCATCTAGTTTCAATCCAGCAGGCATGCTATGCACGCAAATAGGCCTTTTGCCATTTACTTGAGAGAATTTCATCTTGCTGTTCAACACATTGTTGGAAAATAAGACATTTTTCTCCCGATCTCAAGATCCTTGCTGACCATCTCACAATTCTCCCAACATTCTCACCATTGCATGTGTTTTTCAGTGCCTGGGTAGATTCTTAACATTTTTCCTTTAAAAAATTCTAACAATCTCCCTCCACTAATCTCCCTTCTTAAATAGTGGGGTTATATTTACTATTTTGTAGTTTGCAGAAACCTTTCCAGAAGATATAGAATTTTGAAAGAAAACAACCAATGCATCAAGTATCTCCATAGCCAGCTTGCTCACACTCTGGGGATGTGGTTAATCTGATCCAGAGAATTAATCAACCTTTGACCTTTTGCTGAGCTATTTATCTGTGACTGTCCATTATACTCTGCTGCTCAAATCAGCAGCACTTAAAACTGGACATACAACTCTCTATCCCTTTATTCTAGACACCGATATACTTGGTAAAATGCTAAAGTCCTGGTACATATCCTGGGGAACACCACATGTCACATCTGACCAATAAAACATATTCCTTTTAACTTTGTGTGTGTACTTCAGCAGTACCTGCCTTGAGCCTTCTGGGTCAAACAAAATATTATCTTACAGCAGAGATTGATCAGCTTCTGATTCAGCTACCTCTATTTAGGAAATACTTTAGCCTTCTTAATATCTCAATAGTTTTCATGAGGTTGGTTGAGAACTACTGAGGGCATTATGGACTGAATTCCTAGGAAGGTCCATCTGCAGAATCTTTGATGGTTGGGGAAGTTTTGAGAAGCAGGTTGAAGATTTTTTTCATGTCCTCATCCACTGCTCCATAACATGCAACTCCAAATTTTGTGGAAAGTTGGAGAAGTTGGATTCTGACCCATAAGGCAAAATCTGGTTTCCCATCCTCTGTGGCCAATGTGTTTCACAGCCACTATTTGTAAATATGTTCACATATTTGTTAAAAAAATTATTGCACAGAGAAAATACCCAAGGCTTGAATAAAGCAGTTCCTGTTTATATATGTTTTAAAGCTATTTTTGCACATTTAAATTTGTGTACTTGGCTGTTCCTGGTCTAATTTTATGGAATATTCTGGATTACAAACTGTACCATTTTATACATCTTGATGAAATCCTCTCAATAATCTCCTTTTTATACTAAGGTCTTCTTAGGATCAATCTTAATGCAGTTCCTGAAACAACAAAGAAATATTGAGAGGGTGCAATATTTTAGAATTATGAGTACAATATGCAACAGTACATAAATCCATATGTGTGTATATATATGTATATTATATATGTGTATATATAGTGCTTTTAACATAATGAAATATCTCAAAACACTTCATGGGAACATTATAGAACAAATTTTACAACTAGACACATAAGGGGATGTTAGGCAAGATGATTAAAAGCTTGGTCAAAGATTTGGGTTTTAAGAATGTCTCAACAGAAGAAAGGAAGGCGGTGAGGAACTGTAATGTCGAGAGACAGAGATTGGAGAGTTTGAGTCTTCAGCAAAGCAACCACTAATGATGGAGCAATTACGATTGGAAGGCGCAAAAGACCAAAATTAAAGGAGCACAGACGTCATGGGAGATTTTGAGGTTGGAGGAGACAAAACTAGGGAGGGGGAAGGCTATGGGAGATTTAAAAACAAGGATGAGAACTTTAAAATCAAGACATTGCTTAACTGGGAGCCAATGTAGGTCTGAGAGTCCAGGGGTGATGGGGGAATGGGACTGGCTGTGAGTTGAGATTTAGGCAGATGACCCATATATGGAGGGTACAGTGTAGAAGATCACCCAGGAATGAGTTGGAATGTTTGAGTCTAAAAGCAATAAAAGCATGAAAGGCAGTTTCATCAGCAAATAAACTGAGATGGGGTGAAGTTGGATGATGTTATCAAGGTGGAAATGGGGACAGTCTTAGAGATGACACAATATGAAGTGGGAAGCTCATCTCTTAATTAATTGTAACACCAAGGGTATGAACAGACTTCCTTAACCTCAGAGTCACTAGGGAGAAGGATGGAGTGGACTGATCCACTCTTACAGGAATGCAAATACTTTTGTTCTGCTTAAATATCCCAGCTTTCTATTTAATTTACATTGTTTTGCTACATTACACAGATGATGATGATCATTGATATCTGAGTCTTATATATGCCTTATTCTCTAAAAATAGATTTTATTTGATGACTCAATTTTAAATTATTTACAGGTTCCAGCAGTAATACAGGTCTGCATGGTGTCTTAATACTTGGTGCTTGCCTGGTGATTCTTATCATTGGTGCGGCCTGTTTCCTTTACAAGTAAGTTTTGAGTGCTCATCAGGAAAGGAATAGAAGCATAGAGATAACTGATTACAAAAATACTTGAATGCCTTTAATACAAGCCATTTATACAGAAAATATACTAAGAAGTTATAATAACATTGAATTACTTTCCTTTTCTCCATGATGCAAGTCTTCATTTCCTTCTGATCAAGTCCAAAATGTAACTGTGATTAAATTCCAGTTGGGTGATTTGAAAATGGGGCAGAACCTTGTTACAGTGAGATTTTGCTTCATTTCTGCCCTTGAATTAAATTCCAGTAGGAAAGGCATGGCCAAATGCTCTACTGCCTGTACCCCACTTCAAGCATTTGTGCCTCAGGATTTAGGGTTTCCTTGGGAATTCTTCTCTGTACGCTTTCTAAATACTGTTGCCAGATGTGAGATTGTACGAGTCTCAATTAGGCACCATACATAGCCGCAAAACTCTTCAGGCTAAAATAAATAATTGCTGGAGGGGATCAATTATCTTCTGGGAAAGATATCTCCTTTTCCAATGGAAGCTGTGATGCTGAAAGGTTTCTTTTTGTTTAGAAATGGCTGGATCTCCTTTCCCTGTTCTGAGTGACATGGCATTGCTTCAACTTTGTTTCTTTTTAATTAATGTATCTTTGTAATCAACCTGAAACAGATGGGACTTGAACCTAGGCCTCCCAGTTCAAGAATAGGGACACTACCACTGCAGGACAAGAGAGCCCTGGTTCAGCTTTGTTGATGCTGATGCCTAATTTTGATTACCTTGAGCTCAATTTGGGAAGATTCTACAATAAGCGGGTAATTAGCCCAGCCAGGTGACTACCCAGATACTGAAGCCAAATATCAATCCCAATATGTTTTTAGAAACCTGAACCTTAATAAAGTTCTTGTAAGCTTTAGGAATTTCTTCCAAAAAGGAAGCATGCAGGCAAACCTTATAATAGACTCCATTCAGTAACCTCCATCTCTAGCACCTGAAGTTTTAATATCCTCATGCAAAGAAGCTTGGAGAAATAAGTTGGAAATTATGCCTAATATGTCATATTAAGCTTAATATGTCATTTCCTTGCCATGTGACATGATGTAGTCAGAAAATCTCATCTAATTCTGATATTTAAGGCAGAAGCCCCTCAGGAGCAATATGGGGCATGAAAATGTATAAAATGTCTGTGACTACCTAAATATTGACAATCTTTAAAGGATGCTGTACAAGGTTATTTTTAAAACATGTTTCTAAGAATGTAAATTACAGAGAATGAATAGAAATAAATGGTTTGGAGATATTCCAATCTTTCACATTATGGACTGCAACAATTCACACTTAAGTTTTATATTTTACAAATTCATAAAATACATTATACATGCTTTTTGGCAGCAGTTGAAGTAGGAACTACAATCAATTTGATTTATTAAGGATGTGAAACTTACTTTGCAGGCGTTACAAAGAATATACGCCAATTGTTAGACGAGTGAGGGACAGAAATAAACAATTGGTGGTGAATAATGGTGATGCCACTGTGTACTTCAGTAAACTGAAAAACAAACTCTTCCTTGGGAATGATGAGAAGAGCCCATTACTGAAGAAACCTGGGTTCATTTAATCAGAGGTACTCATCCAAGCAGAAGTGTACTCAGGAACAGTCAGCCTTCTGTCTGAGTACTTGTGTTACTTCAGTAAATCTTGACGATAGAAATATTATACTGCTTAGCTCCTCTTTACAAGTGGATTACAATATAAATTACTTGAAATCCAGCTTTTCTTCACACTGCTTGAGGGTATAACTCTGTATGTGTTTATAAATGTTGTATCAATTAAGCAACTGTAAATGTTGGAAGTAAACTTTTTTAATGCCACTCTAATTGTGAAAAAAATTCATTCCACTCACTACACATTGACATTTATTTTCACCACAGATAGTGCAGTGATGGCAAAATGGCAGTATGTAAATCCATTTGGATGGATGGAGACCTGGATCCACATACTGGATTTCTACTGACACCAAATTGGTTGTGTTAAGAATCTACACAAAAGGGATGTTCATAGAAACCCTCTAGAAGTACTAGCTATTGAGCTTCTGCATATTTGCTTTGATATAGGGCCACCTTCTCAATGAGGTAGTCATAAAACTAACTTTTCTACTTGCATCTCTCAGGCTTGTGTCAAAAGTCCTTGAAACAGATAATGTCAAATAAACTATTGTAATGATGAATTATAAAAACAAAACGTGCCTGTATTTTTGTCTTTAGTCACTTCGAGTTTGGGAAGAATGTCTGGAATTGACTTGTGCAAAAATTAGCCCAGAAATACACAACATTTATTAATCACTGATTTTGCCCTCTTGTCTGAGTCTATGGGTTAGGTTATATCCAATAAAAGCAAAACAATGCAGAAGCTGTAAATCTGAAACAAACACAGAGAATGCTAGAGAAACTCATTCTCAACTTCGAGTCCAGCAAGATTCTTCTTAAGTTGTGAAGAAGTCATACAAGACTTGAAACATTAATGCTGTTTTTCTCTCTTCACAAATGCTGCCAGACTTGCTGAGTTTCTCCAGCATTCTCTGTGTAGGTTACATCCAGGTTTTGAAGTGAAGACACTATACCACTATTCATCCTTATTTCTTGCTGCATTTGCCTGCTAATTTATAGTGACTCATATACATGATGGAACAAGTTAAAGAAATTAGTTGAAAGAAAAACTGAAATTGCTAGAAAATTTCAGCAGGTCTGGCAGCATTTGTGAAGAGAGAAAAACAGCATTAATGTTTCAAAAGCGAAATCAGAGTTTAACATTTCGGATCCAGTGACCCTTCTTCAGAGCCGTTCTGAAGGCAGGTCACTTCTGAAGAAAAGTCAATGGACCCGAAATGTTAATTCTAATTTCTCTCCACAGATGGTGCCAGACGTGCTGAGATTTTCCAGAAGTTTCTGTTTTTGTCTTGGATTTCCAGCACCCCCAGTACTTTTGGTTTTTAGTTAGTTGAAAATGTTACCATCAAGTGAGGAGGGTGAATCGGATTCCTTCTTTTCATCCTTACCAGTTAGCCACAACAAAGATTTTAAGTTTGTTTTAGTATGTAGCTGTATCGTTCCCTTATTAAAATGTAGTTAACTGTTTTCAGCTGAAACAATAAAGAGGCAATTACATGGTTTACTTGAGTGAAAGGCAGATCAACTTCATTACCTGCTAACTCCAAGAAAGTAATAAACACATAAAGCAAATGGTCTCCGTGAAGTCACGTGGGTCTCACACAAAAACTGACAGCTGCAAAGTTGAAATAGCATAGTATTCAGTATAAAGAAATATACAGTTTTTAAGATAATGTGAATTTGTACTGAATGGTGTCTTCAGTTGGTCAGTATAGGAATTGCAAGGACTTTGCAACTGGCTACCTCTACCACTAGTCTGAGCCTGACTAATCTAAAAAATACAAGGGAGGGCATTTTTTGAATTTGTATAAGGAATACATTGCAATGTATTTCTTTTATATTTTGTGATGTATTCTGGTTTTCAAATTATTTCAGCTAGGAATGCACATACTGTATGGATGGCACAATAATTCAACTTGTATATTGTTTTTTTCCAGGCAGGAGAAGTCTGAAGCAACCTAACTCTGGATTAAACATTGGTTCCTGTGGAACCTATAATTCATTTTATGTTGTTGCACTTCAAGTTGTGATTTCTGGAACACAATCACAATTTTAAATGAAGGCATATTGTAGTTTTAGTTTGTGAATTTCGTCTTCATCTCTTTTATACTCAACAGTCAACTGCTGTAGGTGATGCACTGAGACACAAGATGGCGGCTGTGCTTTAGCCAGCCCAATACCATTATTTAATTGTTTTAAAATTGCCTTACTACATAGTGTGATTAACAGCATTAACACCAAATAAAACAATATCGGATAAATAGTTCATACTGGTTAAAAAAAGTGCTTCAAGACTGAGGCTTTTAGTTCACATTAGTAATGTAGGAAACTGTTTCAAGGAATGGGGTATCCCCATATTACATCTCATCTTATTGTTGTTCATTTGAGTGGATGTAAAACTCAGCAGGTTTGCTTAAAAGTGTGTACTTCTTTCACTTCATTTTTTGCCTTGTATTAATGAAATCTGTTCAATCAGTAACCTTAGGCATAAAAAAACCAGGAAAAGATCTATCCTGACTTAGCTAACCAATACTCCATGGAATGTAGCTGTGTTCCATAAAAGCAAACAGAACTGTCTATTCAACATAGAGTTGTACAGCACAGACACAGACCCTTCAGTCCAACCAGTTCATGCCAAACATAATCCCAAATTAAACTAGTCCCACCTGTCGGCTCCTGGTCCATATCCCTCCAAATCTTTCCTCTTCATGTACTTATCCAAATATCTTTTAAACGTTACAAGCGTGCCCACATCCACCACTTCCTCAGGAAGTTCATTCCTCATGCGAACCACCTTCTCTATAAAAAATTTGCCTCTTATGTTTTTTCTAAATCTCTCTCTCTCATATTTTATAAGTGCCCCCTAGTCTTGAAATCCTCCATCCTAAGGGAAAAAAAAAGATTTGAAATAGTAGAGGGAATTCACTTTAATGTTTTATGATGACATTTTTTCTTTCTGGATTTGTCAAATTTTATTCACAGTTAACATTTATTGATTTCGGTTTGCACTGTAACCGTGTTTAATACTGTGTATCTTTTGTCATTATAAGAGAGTACTTACTTAGCATTGTCATCATCACTGGTGATTATTCTGGTTTCCATGAGGGCATTTTTTTGTGGGTCTTTAGATGGTTGAAGACGCCAATCTGGGATTCACTGATTCTGTTACAGTGCAGGCATTAGTGGGTGGTAATGGTGGGTGGAGGTGGTGGTGGGTGAACCTTCCTGATGTTCTGTCTCCGCTTGTTTACGAGTTGCTTCTGTTCAGTGGTGTGGCAGAGATTGTTTCTGTGGTGTATAGCTCCCTGCTGGATGTTGTTTCCCCAGTGATTCCGGTTTGTAGCCAGGTCCTCCCGGTTTTTTATGTTGATATGGAATTTCTTGAGGTTGGTCCACATGTTATCTTTGAAGCATTTCTTTTAGCCATCAGGGGCATGCTAACCTTCCTTCAGCAGAGGGTGCATGATCTGTTTTTGGAGGCATGAGTTGGGCATGCGGATGACATGGCTGGTCCATTGGAGTTGCTGTTTATTTATGGTAGTGGTGATGCTGGCTATGTTAGCCTCCTCCAAGAAGCTGGTGTTAGTGCACTTGTCTTCCCAGGTAATCCGCACAGGATTTTTCATAGGGATCTCTGGCTGTGTTGTTCCAGTGCTTTAAGGTGCCTACTGTAGGTAGTCCACGTTTCGGCTCCATAAAGCAGTGTGGGAAGGACAACGGCTTTGCAGGCCAGAAATTTAGTCTGGGCCTGTAAGTCATGATCTTCAAACACCCTTCGTCTGAATCGGGCATAGGCTGCACTGGCACAGTCAGATGGTGTTGTGTTTCTGCATCGATTGTTGGCCGTGGAGGAGAGAAGGCTGCCGAAGTATGGGAACTGATCCACATTTTTACTGACCCTTATTGAAGAAGGTGTGGAGCGACTGTTGGATGGTGCCTGATGGAGTACCAGAGTCTTTTTTATGTTAAGGGTAAGGTATAGGAGCTTATGTGCCTTGGCAAAGCCATCCAAGATGCACTGCAGATGTTCCGTAGACGATGCTGCAATGGTGTTGTCGTCAGCATACTGAAGCTCCAAGATGGAGGTGGTAGAGACCTCGCCCTTGGTCTTGAACTTATTAAGGTTGAACAGTTTGCCGTCCATACAGTAAATGATTTGAATTCCCTTAGGAAGGTTTTGGCCAGTGAGATGGAGGATGGCAGCAAGGAAGACGGTGAGCAGGATGATGTGATGATACAGCCCTGCTTGACCTCTGTCTCCATGGTGGAAGGCTCAGACTCCAATCCACAGTTGCTAAGCACTGTCGCAGACATGTCATCATACAGCAGCATCAGCATCCTGATGAATTTTTCAGGGCAGCCATATTGTGACAGTATCTGCCAGACAGCCTGGCGGTTGACTGTGTCAAAGGCCATAGTTAGGTGGATGAAGGCCATGTCTAGCAGTTGTTTCTGTTCCTGACATCTTACTTGTATTTGACATGCTGTGAAGATCGTGTCTGTTGTTCCTCTGGATGGGCAGAAGCCACACTGCAATTTAGGGAGTAATTCCTCAGAAAACAGCAGAAATCCATTGGTAAGAACACATCCTAGTACTTTGCCAGTGGTTGACAGAAGGGAAATGCCTCTGTAATTCCCATAGTCAGCCTTGTCATCTTTTTTGAATATGATCAGAATCAGAGCATCCCTGAGCCCCTTTTTTGAGCCAAATCTTCAACAGCAATGCATGTATGTGTTGATGCAACTGTGGGCCACATTCCTTTAGGATCTCTGCAGGAATCCCATCAAAACCAGTGGCCTTGTTGTTTCTTAGGCTCTTTATGGCAGCTTGTACTTCAGTCACACTGGGAGGTTCTCCCAAGTCACCTTGTGGATCTCTGGGGGTTTTGGTTGATGATGTCCAAATTAACATTGGTTTTATGGTTATGGAGTTCTTGGAAATGCTCCCTCCAGTGGGTGTTTATTGCATCAATGTCCTTGAACAGTTTTTGTCCATCTTTAGAGTGCAGTGGGTTTAGGCCACAGTAGCTTGGACCATAATTGCCTTGGTAGCACTGAGGAGCCTGTTATGTCATCTGTATCTGCCAGCTACTGGATTTCCAAGGCCTTATCAGTACATCACTTGTTTTTGAGCTCCCTCACCCTCTTCTGACATCAGCCTTAGCTTTGGCATAGGCCCTTCTTTTGACCTTACTGTTGATGCCATTCTGCCAGTCATAGAAGGCTGTCTTTTTTTTTGGAGATGAGCTGTTCCATTTCCCCAGCATCCTCACTGAGGCAGCCCTGATGGTCTCTGGACTTGTACCCTAGGGTGTTATTGCAGATACTGAGAAGGGTTGATTTAAGCAACTCTTGTGTTTTCCTATGTCCTTTCGGTATTCCTGTCCTACAGTTTTATCAAGTGAAGCAAATAGATGTGGCAAAGTGACTGTGTCACCCAGGGTTTCAATGTTGAATCTTGGTTGGGTCTGTTTCTTCTGAACCCTCCTCTTTCTGTGTAGCCTGGTGGACATTGTGGAACAGATAAGGCAGTGATTAGTTCAGCAGT